AGTATGCGCCAGATCTAAAGAACCAAGGATGCGCATTTATAATGCTACTAACACGCCTACGGATGAATAGAATTGGTAGCTTACCTAGAAAGTTGTAAACCAGAGGTCCGTATATTTTAAGACATAAAATAAATGGAAAATAGTAAATGATACTTGTTCATACATATTGCTTAGTGTTATTATTAGTACATAATTCTATAGTCAATTAAAAAAATCATTATTTTTTGGTAAACCGACTTTAGGTTAAGGCTGTTCTACCGCTTTCCGTTCGGTATTTATATAAAATTCTGTTACGGTCAGGAAATTATCCTTTTTCAAATAAATTAAATTGTGGAAAAATTGTATATTGGTCAAACGGGCCGTAGTTTAAAAAAAAGCTATTTAAAACATTACAATAGTTATACTAAAAACAAAAATAATTCTACAAAACATATTTTTTTCTGAAAATCAATTGTTTATGCAAAAATTGTTTCACATTTTGATAATAAAGGAATTAAATTAAACCATTTAGAAACACTTGAAATAAATTGATTTAAAAATTTAAATATCCTCTTAAGTGATCAATTAGATATTAATAAGTAGCCTAATTAAATCTCTTTACCTGTTCTTAGTTTTCTGTGAGATAATCCCGGTAATGATATTTTAATGGAATTTATTAATATATTTCTCTTAAGTACCTATTTTAACTAATTAGTTTATTTTGGATGTATATTAGAAATGTAAATGAGTTACATTTGAAGAAGAAGTTGTACTTAGAAACAATTGTGCAATTTTTAATTTTTATTTCTTTAAATAAAAATGTGAAAATCTACCATGTTTGGTTTTTCTCATTTTAATAATATGGATTTGCATCAAGTGAAGACCGTAATATTATATTAATGTTAAATTTAGTATTTTTTTTACATTTATTAGGAAACAAATTTTTTTAGAAACAGAAGATAAATTTAAATATAAAATATTAATCAAAAATAAAATGCACAGATATGTGTGTAAAATACAAAAAAATATGGAAAACTACACAAGTTTAATTCCAAATAAACTACAGGGTATGTTTACCTGTTGCTTGTGCAGTTTGAAGTTTGATATCATCTAAAGTAACTCCTTCCTTTTTTGTTGCGTCAAAATATTTAAAAACATTGTATATTACTTCACGACTTTGTCCGTTAATAACAAATCTGCGCTTTTTTTCACCCACAATAGAAGACATTATTAAAAATAAAACCAGTCACTTTAACCAAAACACAGAAACAAGAAACAAACAATGTTCTAGTCGTTACGCTACTGACCGTAAGCAAGGACAAGGTTCAAATTGTGAATGGGCGTGGCGATTTTTAAGTAAACGAACTTGAGCATTTGCGCTGGTTCTTCAGATTTGGCGTTTACAATACCTATATAGCATTGTTTAAAAATATATTTAAATATTTACAGAGCCAGAACATGGGCAATGAAAGCCAATCGAGAGGACTAATCGAATTATATAAAAGTTACTCGATATGTGAAGACCACTTTGAAGAGAAGATGTTCACGAGTCACTTTCGTACAAGATTAGTAGCCATTGCAATTCCTACCCTATTCCCGTCCCTCGAGGGGAGTTCCACAACTGAAGACCATACGTATATAGTGCACCGCTCTTGCAACTTCCTGCGAAAATACGAGTTCTAGATGACAGACTGATAGCTCCACCTATCACACCTGCACTATTTGATTCAGGTACTAATAGTATATTATGCAACGATCATGTAATAACCATTACATGAGAGTTGCATACGCTATTTTTTCTACACCCGATAAATAATCAAGACCTATAAATATTATATTTATATTGGTATTGAACACAATAACAGTAATTACTCGTATTTCTATAAAAAATTCTACAAAATTGTAATTAATGGTATTACTTCAGGTATTGGTATTTCCCTAGATTTTTGCGGTAAAATATTTTGTACTGTATTTTCTGCTTTCTCCGATATGTGTGGAGGAGTCTTCTATATCGCTAATATCAGACATTTTAATATTATAATTATCGAAGTTTAGCTACCTACGAAAATTTAATACGTTTTGACAACTAAAATAATTACATAGGAACCTAGGACAAACGTCAAACAGCATGCTTGATTGAAAAATTGTAGGTTTCTATTGATTAAAAATCTGTATCGTAATGAAAAATCTGTATCATAATGGGTATCATTATGAAACGGATTATGGGCATATAAGTGCATTATTATAATACGGGTGTAGAAAAAAATAATAGTGTTTTACTTAAAATTAAATATAATGTTTTATATACAGGGTGAAGCGAGGGGTGAACCTAATTTGTTCCACTTTTAAAAGACTACAACTTTTTTATTTTTTAACTTTTTAAAACAAGCTAATAATCACATGATTATCTTTAGCTGTAAAATTTTGTTATAGCTTTTGATCCGCCCTAAATAAAAAAAAATCATTTTAAGCAAATAAATCATTCTTTATACTTATTCATCTAAGTTGTTATTTAAAGTTTAAATAAAATGTATTTTTGCAGCTAACCAGACAAATCTAGTTGAAACCGAGCTCAAAATCGAGGTTCAACATGAGATCGCCCTGAGTCCAATTACAGACAGTCCTCCTCTGACGTCTCCAACATTTACCCAAACGTCAGCCAGTTTATCCTTCGATACACCAAGAAAAGTTAAATACAGGCAGCATATCAAGTCCATAACTGCCGAAAACAAATATTTACGACAAAGGGTTGAGGTACTTGAAAAAAATAATGAATTGGACAATATATCTTTGGAGCAATATATGTCCCTAACATATAAATTTTGCAATCCAGACATTGCAAAATGTGTTAATATGCAAGTATCACAGGGGCATAAACATCCAAAGGGAAGACGTTACAGCAAAGAATTTAAAATTGAATGCCTATCAATATATTTTGCTGGTCCCAGAGTTTATAAAAAATATTTAATGTCTAAATATAGCCTTCCCTCGCCTAACACTTTGCTAAAAGAAATCAGAGCAGTTAAGATAGGACCAGGATTAGATAATCCCGAGTTCTTCATTTTATTAAAAAAAAAAGTTGACAGTTTCCAGTCTCAAAGCAAATATTGTTTATTGTGCTTCGATGAAATGTCAATAAAAGCAAATTTATTTTATGAACGAAATCAAGATGACATCATAGGGCTAGCAATGGGCGATACAGGGGAAAAGATTTTTAAACCAACTTTAACTGTCAGTGTACTTATGGTAAGGGGAATTTATTCGAAATGGAAACAGCCGATAGCCTACTTTTTATGTCATACTTCTTGTTCTGCTAATCTATTACATAAACTATTAAATGAAGCTGTGCAAAAAACAACAAATGTGGGGTTAAATGTTTGTGCAGTTACTTGTGATATGGGATCCAACAATATCAAATTGTCAAATATTTTAAAGATATCTCCAGACAATACTGGTTTTTATTTAGAAAACCGGTATCTCTTTTTCATCTTTGATGTGCCACATATTATTAAAGCGATGAGAAATATGTTAATGAAATATGACTTTTATGTTAATTGTAAACAAATTTCGTGGCAATATATTAAAGACTTCTATGAATTAGATAAAAAATTTCCTGTTAAAGCAGCACACAAATTAACCGATTCTCATATTTACCCGACTAGTTTCCAAAAAATGAAGGTCAAACTTGCCACCCAAGTATTTAGTTACTCATTCCATGTAGGTATGAGTTTTTATATAGGATTTGGTTCCCTTCCCTCGGAAGCGACAGAAACTGCTGAATTTGTTAATAGAGTAGATCAACTCTTTGATATTTTAAATTCTTCGCAAACCTTTGCCTCAAAAAAATATAATGCTGCCTATAAAGCAAACTCATTTCAATTAGAGTTTTTAATGGATTGCTTGTCCTTTTTTAAAAGTCTTGAAATTCGAGACAAAAATAATATAAACGTTGCCAACAAAATAAAATTTATTAAAAGCTTAATAATTTCAATCAACAGTATTATTCAATTATTTTACTATCTTCGAGAAAATGCTGGGTTTGAGTATATACTTACACGAAGATTAAACCAAGACTGCCTGGAGAATCATTTCGGTAAAATAAGAAGTGAAAACGGTAACTGCATTAACCCCACAGCCATACAGTTCCATAGAACATTTAGAAAGTTGCAATGCGTCAACTTGCTTAACTCAGGTACAGAAAACTGTGAGGCTGATTCTGATCAGATGCTCTTAAGACTTTCTGACTGCCAACAGGATTTTGTACCTGAGGATAAGGATAAAGTATCGGAACAAAGAGACGCACTAAATAGCATGGACTATTCAAATAATGAAATGCTGCAAAAAAATTTCATACGGTACGTGTGTGGGTACCTTTTAAATAAAGCTTTAAGAGTTCACACTTGTGATATATGCAATAAATATAGTAAAGACCATGATGAACTAGATGATTCATCTTATTACTGTTTCCTTAAGGACCGATTCCACCGTTGTGTTAAACGAAGTTTAAAATTACATTTTTACATTAACAATGTCATTTTAATTTCCGTTTAACACAACGGTGGAATCGATCCTTAGGCATATGAAAATGCAAATAAGGACACCTTCGGAAATTTGCAAATGCCTAATAATAAATTTGTGGAATTAATTTGTAAAATAGAACAAATATTTCAAGAAAACTTTGAAAAATTTGCTACTAAAAGGAATATTTGCCAAATGCTTTTAGATATAAGTAACCATTTAGCTTTTAACCATCCCTGTAAATATTTCCCCAAAGAATTTGTAGTTAGATTATATTTAAGAGTTAGAATATATTACACATTGAAAACGATAAATGGTAATTTTAGAAATGTAAATAGAAATAAACTTATAATATGGAGAAATTTGTAATGATATAGTACGAAATGCCACCAGCTATTTAGCAGGAGTAAATTACACTCGACATGTATATAAAGGAATAAGGAGGAAGTAAACTAGGGCCACATACTTTGATTTGTAATCAAAGTATGTGACTAGGGCAAATTATGTGGTGTAACTGGTGTAATTTACACTGGTGGAAACTGCACCAACAACGAACGAAAGAACCTGATGTGGATTCTCAAACGCGGCATAAGTCCGACATATACTGGGGTCCGACTCTATGGTCCGACTCCGCTGAGTTCTGTTCATAAATACGGAAATAAATGTTCTGTTCTGTCAAAGAGTTCTGTGGTCAAAGGTGGAAGTTGTCAAGCCAACAAGAACAAGTTACAAATTATTTTAAACCGTGCCTTCCAAACAAATTGCAACTTTAAGGATAAAGATTTTTGTAAAATCATGGAGCCTTTACATCCTCACTTATATAACAGTAATTCTTCGATTGAGATTAACAGCAATCCTGTGAGTATTCATACAATATTTTCCTTGTAAAGTTTTAATTATAACTACTAACTGTAGATATTTTGTTTTTAGTTTGTAATAGGCAGAGGATTGAACTGTGATTATATTTTACCGAACAAAGTTATATCCAGAGAACACTGCAAATTTGAGAAAAGTGGAAATCATTGGTTTCTTCGAGACACTGTAAGCAACAATTCTAATATAAAGCTTCTAAATAAGTAAGAATTCACAGTCCCTTTTAACCCCTTATTGCATTAGAGCAGAAGTAAATGAAATGTTACATGCATATGATTTAAGATCAAAACGTACCCATACCCAAAAGCTATGCATCCATATAAAAAAATTAAAAACATATTCATTCAAAATGCATGTTCTGTTATTTAAAATGATTTTTTTTAACTGGAACACTTTTATAACTAAGTTACCATGATTTATTTTAGAGCACAAATGGTACATATGTAAATAATGACCTTATTCATGCAACTATTAGTGCACCTTTAAAAGATTCAGATTCCATTCAGCTATCTACAGATTCCATTTTCAAATACACTTTTCAAACAAACCCTGTAGAACCTAGAGAAGAAATAACAGATGAACAGCTGTGTATGATAGCAGATACAGTCTTGGCAGATATTGAACTAGCCAATTTGAATGTACCTGAGGCTAGTTGTAAGTATAAACAAAATACTTCAATAATAATATACATGGAACTACTACTATTTATGGGCTCAAAATAAATTGATTTAACCACACTTAGGTACGTATTTATAAACAGAACTCAGCTGAGTCGGACTTGGCTGAGTCATCCTTGAACGAAAATCGAAGTTCGGTTATATCGCGTGAATTTAAAGATGGGTAGTAACAAATCCGTAAAGCTTAATTTATAACCGCCGTAACGTAACTTAAGAACTTAACGTAAGAAGTTGAAATATTGAATTTACGTATACTTATTTATAATGTTCGTAACGTAACTTAAGAACTTAACGTACCGTAGAAAGTTCACCAACTTAAAAGCTTAATTTATAACCGCCGTAACGTAACTTAAGAACTTAACGTAAGAAGTTGAAATATTGAATTTACGTATACTTATTTATAATGTTCGTAACGTAACTTAAGAACTTAACGTACCGTAGAAAGTTCACCAACTTTTAACTTAACAACATAACTTAACTTAAGACCTTACGGTTAGCCAATGAGATAATTCTGCGTTCAGCATGTGATAACTGTCAATTATTCTTTTTATTTTTTTTTTATAAATAAATAGAAAAATACCATTTGTAAACTATCATTCTCCTTTTTGATGGACATACATTATCATGAATGATTTGTGTTTATGTTATTGGGGATAAACTATCTATGAGATATGAGTGTAGCTGCATATACCTATAAACATCAAGTCTAGAACTGAAATAAGACAAAACTTTTTTGCTAGGAAAGATTAAATTCTCATTATTGCTCAAAAACAATCAACATCTTCGGTAAACTATTTTGTTTTATTATATTTTTATATTATTGCTTTTAAAGTAGTTAATATATTCTTTCTATATAGCAAAATCATAATTTATAAGTTTTATTTAGAGGTTAAGTACATAGTTTACACTTGTTTATTTCATAAGGTTGTCAATAATTTGATAATCTCTGAAATCAACACGCATGCTCTACTCTTACGTTACGGACATTTATAAATAGACTTTATTTTTATATCTTAGGTTAAGTTTCTACGGCGTTAAGTTAAGTTACGTTACGGTGGTTATAAATTATACTTTAACTTAACAACATAACTTAACTTAAGACCTTACGGTTAGCCAATGAGATAATTCTGCGTTCAGCATGTGATAACTGTCAATTATTCTTTTTATTTTTTTTTTATAAATAAATAGAAAAATACCATTTGTAAACTATCATTCTCCTTTTTGATGGACATACATTATCATGAATGATTTGTGTTTATGTTATTGGGGATAAACTATCTATGAGATATGAGTGTAGCTGCATATACCTATAAACATCAAGTCTAGAACTGAAATAAGACAAAACTTTTTTGCTAGGAAAGATTAAATTCTCATTATTGCTCAAAAACAATCAACATCTTCGGTAAACTATTTTGTTTTATTATATTTTTATATTATTGCTTTTAAAGTAGTTAATATATTCTTTCTATATAGCAAAATCATAATTTATAAGTTTTATTTAGAGGTTAAGTACATAGTTTACACTTGTTTATTTCATAAGGTTGTCAATAATTTGATAATCTCTGAAATCAACACGCATGCTTTACTCTTACGTTACGGACATTTATAAATAGACTTTATTTTTATATCTTTAGGTTAAGTTTCTATGGCGTTAAGTTAAGTTACGTTACGGTGGTTATAAATTATACTTAAATGTACTTAACAGTTACAGATTTGCTAATATCCATCTCTAAATTCCAGTGTAACACCGGAACCACCTGGAACTTTAGAGATGTTACCAAACTTCGATTTTAGTTCAAGGACTACTTACCCAAGTCAGACTCAGCTGAGTTCTGTTTATAAATATGGACCCAACTTATAAAATATGTTAACTTTTCAAACCTCTCTATAGATAACAGTATAGAAAACCAATGCTATTTAATAGACAAAAATAGAGGCATACCTTGCTATCCCACTACCAGTAGAGGTGTAAAATATGTGTCCAGTTACGGCAGATAGAAAGGATAGTCTAGAGGTACTGTGTTTATTTAACTCACGTCGAAATATAATTAAGTCAGGATTTGAAAATATCATATTTATTCAAATATATCACATGCTATCTATATATCTGATATATATCGGATACGTATCATTTTTAAAATTTAATTATTATTGTTTCTTGCACAAACAGATTTTAACATTATTTTATTAACACTAATTAAAATTAACACAAGCACATAATTAAAAACCTATATTCTAAATAACAAAATCTTTTATTATAAATTTATAACTAATTAAAAAGACAAAAATAAAAACGAACAGATTTTAACATTATTTTGTTATTAACATTCATATTGGTATATCCTCATCTGATGCTTCTGATGAATTATTAATATCAACAATGTTATTCCTATTAGTGACAATAACTTAAGAATCTTCAGATATGGCTGGTTCTCATGCCCAGTCAAGGTTGTTTTTCTTTGTGTCTATATTTTGATTCATACACTTAAACAGCAAAAACAAAACAAATCGTGGCGAAGCTGGTAATCACAAAGTCGGCGCGGCGATGCTTGTGCGACAGCCGAATAAATTGCTACAGTTATTATACTTTTTTACGGGGGCGTATTGAGACATTTTCGAATGTTCAGAATGGTGGAAAACATTTTTAATTTAATAAATAAAATGATCGAATATATCTGATATATCGAGGTATACATATGAAATATATCATGAAATACAGGGTGTTTCCGAACTTGGCGTTCAAATTTGTAGGGGTGGTAGTTCGCATAATTTGAGAGCGATTGGCAGATTTCATTTTTCTAAAAAAATTATAATAAACAAAATAGAGCCGTTATAAAAAAATCAAAAAGCGGGTCCTAACCTGAGTGCGTAGCGCAATAGTCGCCTGATCGGTTACTCATCGGGATTTACAACTGAAAAACAGATGCGATTTGCAAATTTCTCCCTCCGCCCGGCCGGTATCGAAAGACGTAGCCGATTGTTTTTCTAGTGCGTATTGCTTTGTTGGGTTGTTTACCTCGCGTTCAGAGAATTTTATTTAGCGCGCGCGAGTCGACGCGATCCCATCGCTATGCAGGACCGTACCTGTTTAAAATTTTTAATTATTTTTATTTTAAATATTTTGGAAAAATGAAATCTGTGAATCGGTCTCAAATTATGCGAACTACCACCCCTACAAATTTGGACGCCAAGTTCGGAAACACCCTGTATATATATTCTTCTTTTGGCCGCTAGAGGTCAACAAAGTTAAAAAAAAATATTTGTTTTTTCTTTCATCTCTAGAATTCAGCTATGTTAAAAGATCAAACTTGGTACGAATACTAGGTGTTCTATGGCCAATTATTTTATTTATTGTGATCATAAGGGTCTAATTAGGGGAAGGGCAATGGACAAAGTTTTGGTGCCTTCAACATCTAAAGATGTCTACTGGTAGTATTCTGTATGCCGCATATAAAAATTATTATTATTATTATTTAATTGATAACATCTTTCACAGTATAGGTTGATCATATGTACTGCATTTCAAATAAACCTTTTTATTTGCACTAAATATAGATTACAAAAATAAAGTGCACAATAGGGAGATATTTAACCTATGGCTACTCTTACATCTAACCCATTTACAGTTAATTAATAGGGTACACAAATTACAAAATTTACAAAAACAAAAAAAAAATTAAATACAGAGATAAATTCAAAGATAAATACTTATAGTTTTAAAAACTTAAAAATAATTAGCAACTAAAAAATTATGTTTGCTGGCTATCTAGTAGATGTTGCTTTAATCTGGATTTAAAGGCCTAGGTGAATAGTGTTTTTTAATTCTGAGGGTAATGTGTTATACAGACTTACCGCATTAAAAATGAAACTCCTTGTCAAAATGGCATTATGATGAATAGACATTGATAATGTTTTAGTGTCTCTTATGTTGACCATATGAGCTGATGATCTATATTGAAATTTATTACTAAGATAGGTAGGCAATGAATCTTTGATTATTCTATGCATCATACTTAGCAATAAATATTGATAAACATTGTGAACCTTTAGCCAATGTGTTCTTGCAAAAAAAAAGAAAGAAATATGGTAATATTTCGGTAAATTATTGATATATCTACAACAAGTATTCTTCATGAATTGAAGCCTGTTTTTATTCAAAGCTGTTAAGCAATGGTAATAAATTTGTATTCCCTACACTATTTTATAACATAACATAACAAGACTTTGACATAAATTAGCTCGGGTTTTCTTATTTAATGGAATACGTTTATTTAAATATAGTAACCTTAGAGCACCATAAGGCTTGTTTTGGTTATTTCAAGAACTAGTTCAGATTCAGTGAATTTCACTCGTTCAGCTCAATTGGTTATTATATTATTGCGACGTGTTCTTGAAAAATGAATTCGTTAGCTGTATTTGAGAACTGGAATCAACAGTTCTGTTTGAACCAAAACAAACCCATAACCATCATTTGCCAAATAATATAAAACGTTAAGACAACTTAAAAAAAGTGAAAACGTACATTTCTAATTTGATCTTAAACTTAGAACCTTATACAGTAAGAGATTTCCTGGAGTTTTGAACCTTTATAGTGCTTTAGTAGCCCGTGTCCCACAATAAAATCAATGCATTTTCATTTGTTTGTTGCTTGTTGTTATTTGTTACCCGTTTTTATTTACTGCCAATTTCTTATGTGTCACTAAAATAAATATTTGTTTGTTTTTAAGTTAATTTATTAGAAATTTTTTGTATTTTATTTTATATTCCATATTATAACCATTTTATTTTGATTGTATATGACGCCATTCACTTTTATGTATACCTACTTGTGAATAAAGTTTTTTCTATTCTATTCTCACTAGTTTTTAGTAGATGATTTATGTGATTGTAGAATCTTGTATCAAACATTAACACCAGCATTTGATCTTGTACTGCAAAACACCGTATTTGTCTAGCAAAACGACAATATTGGCTAGCAAAACGTCGATATTGGCTAGCAATACATAATTTACTGAAACGTAACAAGACAAAAACCTAATGGGGAACTAAAAAAAGATCCCCTTTGGTCTTTATATGATTTTTCTGTTTTTGTATTTATCTTTATCTTATTTATCTTGTTGACCTCTTGCAGCCAAACGAAGCAAGTTGGTATATAGGTAAGTTTGGTTAAATCAACTTATTTTGGGCCCATAAATCTGTAATCATTTACAGGAAAGCTTCCTGAAGTAGTCAAATTTGGACATTTGCTCTAAATATAAATTAAATATAGAATGATTATTCTGAATATTTTATAACTTATTATTGATATTGGAATTTTTAATAATTTTGCATATTGTGATTGTAGCTGTTCCTGTTAGAATAAGTAATGAATTAATACCAATGACAACAACAGGTTCTACTACAAATGAAACTGTTGTATCCATTACTACAACTGCAACTGGTACAATACCAGCAAAAAGAATGAGACTTACGAGGTCTACTGCTTCAAATAATGTCATTGACTTGACAGAAGATAGTTTTTCAAGTAAGTTATCTTTTTCAGAAAGAAGGTTTTTATAACTCCATATGAGTCCCCTAAATGCAAAACTCGGTATTTGCTAGTTACAAAATTTTTCAGGAAGGGCAAAAAACTGTCGGTAATTAAAATGCATATATATTCGTTTCAAATTTTGTTTTTAGTTGGCTCTAAGCGATTTTGTTTTGAAATAACTATGCTCTTTAATCCGAAATCCTAGCAAAAATTAAAAAGAATACTTTTAAAATTAAAATACTGAGTTTTGCATTTATATTTTAAAAATACTCACAATTGCAAATAAGTACCGTTAAGTGCATGATTGTCTTATTTTAGAACATTTATTTTCTTATAATTTTTTCTTTTTAAAAAGATACAAAAATATAAATTAAAACATTTTTATTAGGTGTAATAATATACATACAAGCAAAAAAATCCTCTCTAAATAAGCAAACAACAAATGAATAAATTAAAATGTCTACGTGTCCGTGCACTTACTTAATCACGTGACTATTAGGCGCAACGCCATTGGCACGTTACAATTGCGTAGTTTTGCATTTGACAAGTGAAGGCAAATACAGAGTTTTGCATCTAGTCATCTAGTTTTCTAAATCGCTTTTAATGCAAAAATAGGGAGTTTTGCATCTTATTTTAGGAGAAGAAACGTAGAGTTTGAAATAAGGAATTGAATGTCGCAAAACATTACTTTTGAAAATTTCGTCAAATACAGAGTTTTGCATTTAGGGTACTTATATATTTTTGGCAAAAAATGTATTTATTAGAGATGGTAACTGTTGAATAATTTTAGTCCATAAAATTCATTTTATGAATTATTTCAATTATCAAATATTTTATTGTGTATAAAATATAAAGAGTCATAAAAAAATGGATATCAAAATATTTTTAAAACCCGAAATATTAGTGAAAATCTGCCAATTTGCAAACGCAGAATATAAGGATGTATTTAGAGGAAAAACATATTTTCTCTCTTACTAGTCGTTTCAAATTGCTTAGGACTTATCACTACTTGTATTTCTAATGATATTATATGTACTTGCAATTAAAGTATTTTGTGATCTTTAAACGTTTTTTTCCTCTGAGCTGTCATGAACTTATTTATATAGTTACAACAGTTCATTTAACATGCGTTAATGTTACATTTATGACAATATAATATTGAAAACCTTAAATGTCAAATGTAATAATTTTATTAGGTATTTGTTTATTTCTGTTAACACTAATTAATTAATTGTAATTATTAGTCAATTAGCCTATGATTAGATTTCATATGTAAACAAAAATTCCTCTATAATTCTTTCCAGGTTACTCAAGTATAAAACAATACGGTAACCCTTGGTTGACATGGTGACTCTAGAAAAAATCTGATATGTTCAACACATGACTTTCCTATCTAGTTATTACAGGCTTTTTTCGGTTATTTTGTACAACCTATTGTAGCACCTCTGTAAATATTTAGAGGTTAACTTAATATATACATTATCCACGTACATCAACTGGAAACATTTTTCTACCGGGTGTTCAAATTAAAGTGTTACAGTTAAATACCGCCGAAAATATGTATTTTAGAAAAAAAAGTTTCAGACAAAAGTTTTATAGTTTTTTGGGGGGAAACATTTTGGCTAATTTCATTTTTTTATAGCTGACCATAATATGGCCATCTCGAGGTGGATTTTGTTTTTTTAAATGGGAACCCCATTTTTTTACATATGATGGAAATATATTTTTTATTGGACTTTTTCTTTTTGAGTAACAGCTACTTGAAAATTTTGCTAGGCGAAAAAAAAGTTGACCATATTATGGTTAGCTATAAAAAACGATTTTAGCCAAAAATTTTCTCTACAAAACTATAAAACTTTCGTTTGAAACGTTTTTTTTTTTTATAAAAAGCGGTAGTTAGCTGTAACACTTTAATTTGAACACCCGGTATATGCACTTATTGCCAATGAAAATGCTAAAAAAATTTAAATTTTATACTTTTCCTCCAATTTTTCCATTACGGTCCATTTTAGAGAAATCATGTAAAAAACAAAAATTATAGAGATCGATATTGCAAACAACTTTTAGTTCAACAATTTTCTTAAAAATCAGAATTTTTTTACATTTTGTGAAAAATTTCTCGAATACGGACCATTTTAGGAAAATTTTGTGTAGAACAAAAATTATAGCAGGGTTCGAAAATATCATGATATTTATATAAATATCAAAATATCGGATATATATCGATATATATCCGATATATATCAACTTCCTGATATTTATTTTTATAAACAATTTTTAAGGTCTTTCTTAAATAAGATCAATAAATTAAACGCATTAAAAATGTGATTTACCAAATTTATTGAAAAAAGTAAACAAGATTCTCAAAAACAACAACAAAAAAAAAATAAAAACAAAATAGTTAATTAGTTAAAAAACTGATCAAAGTTCGTCATCCGAATCAGAAGGAATCTCCTGTGCAGACGCAGTGGGCTCATCCCATATCCATTCTATATTACTACTGTTGCAAGCTTTAGCTGTAGACGCATGCTCTCTGTTTAAATATTTAAACAAAAAAACAAGTTTGGCTGTTTTGTCACGTTCCAATCGATTTCTTAATTTTGATTGTACCAAGCCGAATGTTGAAAAATACCTTTCCAATGATGCTGTCGATGCAATTGCTGTTAGTAGCTTTTCACAAAATGTTATAAAGTTTTCTTTTTCTGTAGGCCAACCGGTAAGGCATAATGACTTCCACCACACTAATGGACTGGTATTGCGGAATTGTAGTCCAAACATATATTTAGGAAATGGGAGCGAGTTAGATGTTAAGGCCATTACAAATGGCAAACAATCTTCGTTCCTACTGGCAATAAATGCATATGCTTCTTCTTTCTGCTCGTTGTTTAATCGTTGTCCAAGAAATCTATGATCCAACATATTTGCTGCAAAATGAGCACCTCCTAACGCCATATTTCTGCGCTTGTGAAAATGTTTTTTAACCTCAAGTGGTTGATCTTGTAAATCTTTTTCTAATTTATTCCAAATTTCATACAGCTACGGAAATAGTTGTTATTGCTCTTTGCATTCGATCAAGGGCCACTGCAATTGGTGTTAAGCGTGCTACAAGATCAACAGCGTTCTTTGCGACATGGCTATCGTTTACAATTTTAATAATTTCAATATCAATATCATCTTTATTGTCTTGGCATATTTGCACAAGTATACCTCTATTATCTAAATATGATTTGATTGCGTCACTCATTGTGTTCCATCGTACCTCCTGGGGCATCACTAGTTTTTTTGTTTTTCCCTGCGCTTGTTTAAATAATGCAGCAGGAACATGCTTATTTCTAAAATATTTTATTACTCTAATTATAACATTTGTAGCTTCTGGAATTTTTAGATCCTGTGCTAGTAAATTTAGCACATGGGCTGAGCATCCATATTGAATAATATCAAAGTCATTAACAAGATCCAGGCGCATTTTTTGTACGTTAGCGGCATTGTCCGTTACAAAACTCCCCACTGTAACTTGAAAATCTTCTTGAGCAATTTTTATAGCTTTTATAGCAAGATCTCTTAAATTTTCTGCAGTATGACGATCTATGCCTGTGTCTACACAATCTATCAAAATAGATTCTCCATTTGAAGTCACTATGCTGCAACAAATAAGTGGTTCATTGTGGATATTGCTCCAACCATCCATTGACATACACACTGTAGAATTTTCAATTTCATTTCTGCAATCCGTTTTAACTTCTCTGTGCACAGTATTCAAAAGAGTATCACCTATTTGTTTTGCAGAGGGGCCTTTGTAACCTGGGCGTAATATGCAGCACATTTTTTTAAACTCTGGGTGATCAGCGTGGTTGAACGGCGTATTTGTGGCATAAAAGTATCGAGCTATTTGCTTGTTAATATTAATTGAATGTTCTTTTGATGTTGCAATAATGTCCAAGTTACTAAAAATAGATAACTGTCTTTGTTTCTTGGCAGGCGGTAGAATGTCGCTATTATCTAAAAAAAAAAAAAATGTCGATCTATAATTCATATCTATAGGAATAATTTGAGGATTAAAAATCTAATAAACCCTCGAATAAACCTGTATATATTTTTTAATTACCTTCTTCTTTACTTGTTGACGGTATCGGCTCTATATTTTGTAAAAATTGTCCCGGTTTCTTTGCAGGTTGTAAAATAACGCAATCATCTGAAAAAAATATCGATCTGTAGTTCATATTTCTTTAGGAATACGCCCAGGAATAGTATTTATTTTACAATTTATTAAACATAATTTTTCTTTAATTTACCTTTCTCTTCTTTACTTGTTGATGCTATCTGTACAGTAATGTTCCTAAAGTCTTTGGCACTTTCTTTAGCACAACTTTGTAAGTGTTTTTTCATTCGTGTAAGTATACCTTGCATTTCTTTTTGACACAGTCTGCACCTTGCCCAATTGCCACTATTTTTCGATGTAATACAGTCAAACTTTGCCCATACTATATCTTTATTCTTTGGCATTTTCTTTAAATATCTGTTATTATCACTACGATATCACACAATCTAATTAAAAGCACAACAAAAAGTACAAATGATTCCGCGGCGATTAAGTTAAAATCAGCATCTAAAGATATTCTAAAACGAAGTTGGTGATTCCCCCGAAAATGCTTTGCTCCATCGATCGGACAAACGGTCGGTAAATGAAAATACCCGTTTTCAGCTGTTGCATAGGCGTGCTCGTGGTCTTAAATCACGATTAACTACGAAATTTTTACGCAGCGTCGCACATTTCAGTAAATCTATAAATATCCGTGATATATATCATTGCTTATAAATATCGATATATATCGTGATATATATCATGATAAATATCGGCGATATATATCGGTCGAACCCTGAATTATAGAGAATAATATTAGAAGTAACTTTTATTTAAACAATTTTCTTCTCTAACATATATTTAATAGAATATAAAAATGACCCCCTAAAAGGTACTCCCAGATGTTCCGACTCTGGCCATGAAGCAATTTCATGAAAAAATTGGATTAAGCAATTGGAAGAAAAAATTGATAATAATTCCATTTAACAGGTATTAAATATTTTTTATGTTTTCCTATAGTGCCTTCAACTAGTACCCATGCTCCTGTGATAGACTTAAGTGATAGTTTTCAAATTATCCCAACTTCAGATCTGAAGGTAAGGAAAATATTACTTCATTAACAAAAAGCTAACAAAGACGGCCAATATACACGTAAATCTTAAATGTGTTCATTGTCCAATAATATGCAAGGCAGTATTTTTTAGCCTAATCTGGCAGCTCTGTTCACTTGATTTTTGACTTCTATACAAGGACCAACCTAACAAAATAAAATTGACACTAATGACATATGAAATCGGGAATGTATGTTAAGGATTTCTCATTATACTTTGTTTTTACACAGGGGAAAGTAACTAGATTCGTTACTAAGCATGTTCCGAAATATAGTCGTGTTCAAAATTTATGTAATAGTTATTTTTGTCGGCCCTAGACGGTGAACGGCCAATGAGGGGTTAACGAACAAATTAATGTCATAGGAGTCTATGTTTTTATTGGTTCCAGACAACGGTCGTACATTTCACATTATTGTGGTCTGAATAGTGTGTCTAAAACGAAATTTACATGAACCGTTTTAAAGCGATCAACCGGTAATTTTCGGTATTTACCGTTTTAATTAAAGCGATGTTGGTTATCTTTGGTTACTTTCTATAACGTCATATTTAAGCCCTTTGAAACATCATTAATTATAACCAGTAAATACCTGAGTCCAGACGTGGGTTATTAATGACAAGTGGAAGTGACATAGAGTTAGTGGTTTTTGGTTAGTTTATAGAATTCGCTCAGTCAAAATTGGAAATTACATTACACTTTTATTTAAGTATATAGAAATACCTACGAAAATAATCAAATGCTTCTGACGCCATAAAAAGTCATGTAAAACTGTTCCTTATTAAATTCTAACATCCAGTCTACACAAATATAAATATTTTTGGTACCATTACTAACAAGGTAGCGAATTAAATTTGTTATATCCAAGAGAAAATCTCACTAATAATAAATGTATACGAATTTTCCTTAATTTCCACTTTAGAGTCAACTTCGAGACGCTCGAAGAGAGTCAATAAAAATTAACCTAGAAATTAAATGTCAAAATTTAATGTCAAATTCCTTAAAAGGGATTTAACGTTAATGCGTTACAATAACCGGTCATCTTTTTAGGGCTTTAGTCACGTGATTTTAAGGTTAACCAAGGGTATAACCAAAGTGTTAACTGGTTTATCGTTTTAAAACGGTTATAATCGTTTTAAAGCGATCAACCGGTAATTTGCGGTATTTACCATTTTAATGCGCTAGTTCAGTGTGATGTCATTTTGGTTCCACTGACATTTAATTCTAACCAAACTTTTAACAAAAACATCAATAAATTTGACATATACGTTTTTACTATTTTTATTTTATTTTAAAATATTATTTACAGGTCATAACAAATAGTTTAAAGGTATGTAATTGGTAATTAAACGATTGTATATTTGATACATGCTATCTACTTACTTTAGGAATATATTTATAAAAGTGAAAAAAACGATATAATTTAGGTAAGCCAAACGAACAAAACGCACTCAAAAAATCTACTGTCACTTTAATTGTCAGTGGAACCATAATTACATCATCACTGAACTAGCGCATTAAAGCGATGTTGGTTATTCTTGGTTACTTTCTATGATGTCATATTTAAGCCCTTCGAAACGTCATTAATTATAACCGGTAAATACCTAGTCCGGACTTGGATTAATAATGACAATGTCATGCAGTTAGTGTTTTTTTGGTTAGATTATAGAACTTGCTCCCTCAAATTTGAAAGTAACATTAGCTGTACTATTATTAATGTATATAGATATACGTAATTTATCAAGTGTGTCTGGTACAATGTGAAAAAAAAAAGTGTAACACCGTTTCTTATTAAATTCTGATATCCAGTCTTCAAATCCTTTTTTTTTGGCACCATATCAACAAAAATTTATCCCGACCAGTTTCTTAAAATCCATGCCATCACTATCAAGGTAGTGAAATAAATTTGTTATATCATTGTCCATAAGCAGAAGCCGAGGAAAAACTCACTCACTTTCAACTTTAGATCCAATAAAAGTTAACCTAGAAATTAAATGTCAAAATTTCCTTCCTTTCTTAAAAAACGATTTAACGTTAAGGGCATTCCTTAGATTACTAACATCTTTGGGGCATTCTTACTTTTTTCTAGACGGTACATTTCTAATTATCATTTGGTAAAATGTAACGCAGAGAAACCGACGTGAAGATATATTTTAGTTGAATAGATCAAGTTGACAAATTCATTATTCACATGAACGTCGCTTGCTGATGTGCCGCAATCAACTGGTCTATTCGAATATTGGTTAGGACCGATCATAGTTGACGAGCTGGTTACTCTCAAGAACGTCGTTTTGTCAAATGCTGTAATTAACTGGTCTATTAGGGCCGCCTATTAGAGGGTATTTCTCTGTTTTCAATGGCCGATGTATTTAAAGATTTTTCAGCTAGGTATGCTCTTTTTTAAATTTTCGGTACGACCTTAGATTATACAAACCTTACTGATTTAACATACCCTGAAAAATTATGTTATTGGATTTAAACGCAAGTTAAGTTTACTTTAAATTATTTTTAAATCTTCATATTTTATTACGAACAATTTGATGGGTGGTACAAAATTGATCGGATACATTTGATCGAATATCAATTGATCGAAAAGAACAATGATCGAAAAGAAAATTGATCAAGAATAGATTTGACAGAAAAAGCAATTTATCGAAAATCCAAATATACATAAAACTAACAAAACTTAATTTACCTAACCTGTGCGAGAACAATGAGATAAATTTAAATGGCTCCAGGCCAGACAGGTTAGGTAAATTGGTTAAGAATTTTTGATTTTCTCATTTTAATATATAATTTTTTCTGAAGCAACCCTCGACGGCTTCAGGCCGCACAGGTTAGATAAATTAATTGAGTTTTTATAAAAAAAACTTAATTAATTTACCTAACCTGTCTGAAAGTAATCAGTAAAATTTAAATGGCTCCAGGTCACACAGTTTAGGTAAATTAGTTAAGTTATTTTTTTTTGTAAAACAACCTTCGATGGCCCCAGGCTGCACAGGTTAGGTAAATTAGTTGTTTTTTAAATGAGCCAGCTATTGTTTGAGAATATCGAAAAATTTGACGATATACGCTGAGTTTAGATTCCCCGGTAATAGGGATTAGCCGGACGGTTGCATGATTTCTGTTGATTTTTTATTTTTTACCATTGATTTTCATTATACTGTCCTTTTGGTGTAATTAATTTTATATCTATTGTCCTTTCGATAAAATATATATTGGATAAAATGTATTTTTGATCAAATTTCCAATTCGATCAAATGTTTTTCGATCAGTTTTTTGCCACCCCAATTTGATACCGCACGATAAATAGGTAGGTACTTTAATTCATCCATATTAAGGCCAATTTCATAATCGAACTCTAAAGGCAAATTTAAAAAAAGGAAGATTCTTTTTAAAGTTCAAAGCATCCTTTAAAAAATGTCATTTCATAATGGTTTTCCTAATGTACTTTTACTAAAACGTGCTTTAACAAAATTTTACCCTGTTGGTATTGCTGATCTGTGTTTAATTCTAACATTAACCGGAATATTAGCCATAAAAATGTTAAGATTCCTAAAAAATGTTTTGTAAAATGATATAAGGTCTTCGGGTTTTTCTAAAGTAGGTGAAAAAGAAATTGAACGTTTTAAAATTTAATTATTCTAGGAATTAATATCTGCCATGTAGGACACAGGAAGCAGGGTAATGCTATGGGTAATCCTATTAACAATTGTAAGAACCCTTTTATCGAAAGTACGAACATCAAGAGTACCTATATGTAATTACAAATGATTGCTTTTAATCCATTTTAAATTTTAGTTTGGGATTTCCGAAATTATAGTATATGTCACTGTGTCCTATCGTGAAAAAGGGTTTCTCTGGGAAAAATAAAATTTTAGATCAGTTATTATTTCAGTATATTTCATAATACAGGGTGCTCCAATGAAAAGTAGCCAATATCCAGAGCTTATAATTTTTAAACAAATCGTGCGGTTTTTTGCTGATATGTGTTATTTGGTATAAGTTTTGCTTCAGTGACACAGAAATTATGTATTACCTATAAGGGTGTTTTTTAAAAATCTTCTCTTTTAAATTCACCGTAACCAAATTTTATCAAATGGAAACGGACTACTTTTCATTGGGACACCCTGTATTTTACAACAGATAAAATAAACAATGTTGAAAAGGTTGATATAGCTAGAATACTATTTTTATTATAATAAATATGAAAATCTTTTTCAAAATAAAGCTTGGAAATTACTGACTTTACGTTTAAATGCTGTAAATCAAGTGACAACTGTTGAACAGTAAAAATCAAAATTCAACAATTTCAAAATAAAGATATATTATTTGTTTGTGTACTCACATCAAATTAAACCAAATAACTGGCGCGATGTCATAAAAAAATTCTCAATCAAAACGAAAAACTTTCAAACATCAGAAAAAGCACGCTTTAAAGCTTCTAAAGGAGCAGAATAGTGTATTTATTTAAACGAAGCTTTAAAGTGTACTTTTTCAATAAATTTGTGTTATGAAATCGATATAAAATTTAAAGTGTCCTTTTAATATTGAAGTTTCCTTTAATTTGATTATGGAATTGGCCCTTAATATTCTAAGAATTATTTTGTTAAGTATATCACAATGAGTTCCACTACTTAAATTGTTAATGAAATCTTCTTCGGGGACCCTGTAAATCTCATTATACCTAATTTCAAAAAATATTTACACTAGATCCATAAGAATGAAGAAGCAGCAGTTTAGTAACTTTCTTATGGAAAAATATCAGGATTTAGTCAAACTTGCCTATCCGAAAGTAGGTATTAAGCTTGTATTAAGCGACATATAGGGTAAAGGTACAGTTTTTTTTTTACTGAAAGTCAATCGGATTGCCACTTAAGTGTAAAAACAACAAAAAATACGATTCTTTCCAAATTAATTAAAAAAAAAAATCCAAATAATGTTTTCAAGCACCTTGTATCTGACTTGAAATTTAGTCTAAATAGATAAATTTAGCTACATTTTCATAGTTTTATGTAAATAATCTGTTGCTGTTCCATGTCCCTTTCCTTTCGAGACACAATGTATTTTTAATTTTAGAAATTTAACGATCCCGAAAACTATCAAAATTATATAAAGATCAAAGTGATTTTGTTTTCTTTTTATGTTTGAAAAATTTTTACCATTTTCAGATTAATTTTGTACTAAATTTAAAGTAATTCAAAGTTCAAAAGTTCTTTGAGCTACAAAAAAGATTATAGACACACAGGAACAAGTGCACTCATGGCGCCCAATCCCCAGGATCACTTCTTGTTGCTGGCCGCCCCATCTCCTTGACAAGAAAGAAAGCATGCAAAGGATAGAAGAGCTTGGATTTTGCATTAAAAACAATGCATTTTTATAATGGAATTGTGGCAATTCTAACGCATCAAATTAATTGAAATTTTAGAAGCATATTAAGAACATATAAATAAAGTCTGCTCTTCTTTCGTTTTTTTGATATTTATGAAAATATACGCGTAATAATTTTTGAAGTAGAACGAGTTCAAGCCGACTTGCCATTTTTTTTAATGTGTCTTCTATTTAGTTTTTGAAAATTTTGAAGGAAGAGCAATCTAAGTTTCAGCTGTTTATATAACATATTTTTTTCAATAACATCCGAATACAAGATCAGTTACAATTCCTTAATAAAAATCCTTAAAATTTAAGCCTATTTTCAAAAGTAAGAATCCCTTAATACGTTACAATAACCGGTTACCTATTTAGGGCTTTGGTCAGGTGATTTCAAGGTTAACAAGAGTATAAACCAAGTGTTCTCTGGATCATCGCTTTAAAACGGTTATAGTCGTTGATTTGTTGACGTTATCAGAAAATAATAAGTCGTCTTCCCTTTCTTATAGGGCTTTTCAGGAATTGCTACCATTAATAGTACTCAGTGAAAAAGGATCCATGATCCTACAAATTCAATACAATTGCTTACTGAAGTTTTGAAAAGAACTATTATTTACGAAATAAAGTAAAAAACTAAGTAAACATAATGAGATATCAAAATATAAAATGTCAGAACTGTCAACAATATCAATTATTAGCCGATGTTAATACTAAAAAGTGATATGTGAAACCACATACTTTGATTTTCTTTTACTATACGGAGAATGGTCGCACTGCGCAGCTTTCTGAGTGCCTTTTAAAAGGAGATAGAAAACTCTGCCATTTTGAACCCTTATTACGTGTTGCCTACATCTTGGCGCAATATTTTTAATAGGTGCGTTTTAATCATCCGCTTCTGCTTCGGAATTGTCGGTTTTCTTGTTTTAATCTGACAGGTTAAAACGACTAAACCGACAATTCCGGAAGCAGAAGCGGATGATTAAAACGCACCTGATATTTTGCTTGCTGCTGTCAGTGTCAGTGAATATTATTTTTGAAGTCACAGTTTATTGCTAAAGAATCAGTTAGCTCACTCGGACCAGTTGAAAGTTCCAAAATAACATCCACTCCAGGGATACAAATTCAGGATACGCAGAAGACTCCTGTTTTATTATAGGCGGTTGTCATATATTGTATTATCCGAGTTGCACAGTGTATAAACTGAAACATCGAGATCCAAAGTGCCGACGCAGAGTGAGCGATCTGATTCTTTAGCTGTAAACTGTGTCACAGGGTTCAAAATGGCCGCGCCCTATGTTGGGCGTGTCGGACCTCTCTCTTGCCTCGTATAGTAATCAAAGTATGTGTGTGAAACTGACTGCAATCTGACCAATCGGAAGTCTACAGAATTGCCAACTTAAATTCAAATCGCTCCTCCTAGTTTAAAAACAGAGTATAGTTTGAGTAGCTTGTCCTTACTCTAAAACATACAAGCATTTGATCTTTTCTGGTTATAGTCACCCACAAGTCTCTTTAATTGTCGTATCTTATTTGGGAGGGTTATGAATTGGCATTACTTACTCTGTCTTAATTGATTTTGATTGATAATGATATTGCTATTTGGCCTATAGGCAAAAAGTGTAGAACACAAATAATAAAAAGTTTTTATATCTTTTTCAGATGGTAATTCAAAAAATACCTGCTCCCAAAAAATCGCCAAAAACTGAAAACTTAAATCTTAATTGTGCACCTTCGACTAGCTCCAATACAGATGAGAAAACAAATCCAACAAAGAATGAAATGGATGTAAGTTAAACTCATTTTATACTTTTTAGATTATCATTGTAAAAGGAATTAAGAATATTTTTATATTGATTTTAAACCAGCACTTTAATTTTAAATTCTTTGGTTTCAATAAATTAGTCACCAAGATACATAACATTTACGATTTAACTGACCCTGTACATTGGTTGTATCTGTGCCTCTGTTTGATTTTTCAAAATCAATTATTTTATTATTTGGACAATTTTTTGATGACATATTTTTTTGACATTGTTTTACATTTTTGTAGTATTTGTTAATGGATTTTTAACTATTTTTCACAATTTTAAAGTCTTTTCGATTTTTACTTGCTTTTACCTAGTTTTAGTTTGTTAAACTTTGCTACAAATCTTTTAAAGTCCTGAAACACATGATTCAAATTTAATCAAGCAAATGAGGGGTAATCGGTGTTTGTTTTTCCATCAGAGTGCAATTTCTGATGCCCCCTGCCTATGGGTTCAACGTTAAATATCAGTGTATAAAATGCAATGCATTTCTTATGATGCCTATTTTACTAAATAGCCATGCATATTAACCGGTTTGTTTCTATATTGCTGCCATTCTTAAACTTCAACTAATTATAGCAGATATTGGGTCTCTCTCTGGCACACCCACTTGACTTTTTCGTCGCATCACGTCATCTGTCAACAGTGTTGCTAATCTTGCAATGTTGCCAACCGTGTTAGCGCGATACGATCAGTGGAGGCCATATGGGGGGGGGGGTCATAGTCCCCTTGGCCTATTGATGATCTAATTTTCCAGATGATAACAAAAACTGTTATAATAATTTGAGAAATTTGAGAAATTATTTAAAAGCAATTCAAGTAAGGCATTGACAACTAATCGCACACAAACTTTTGTAAATACTTAACTATAATATTGTTACCCAGGTTTTTGGTATCTCAATTTATTTCAACTCAACTTTCACAATAATTATAATTCAACTTTAATAACTTTAACAATAACTATCCAATTGATAACATTCACGTATAACGTCTATCATAAAACTGAAAACTGACGTCAGGATTATCCTTATATAGCTTCTCGAACTGTCGTCTAGAATATTCTTGATGGTAATGACATTTCTGGACTATTCTATCTTCTTTTACTTGTACTTTTACTTATGACGACCGCAGCACACTGTAGAGCAATGAGTAACATTCCACTTCTTTTTCTATCTGTACGTTTCCTATAATAGCTGCAGGGTGCTGCGTAATATTGCTCCCTCCTCTCTAGTTATTCGCCCCGAATAATTTGATTACTGGGACCTGGTTGGAGCCAACGGGGAGGATCTGGACCACGATATGGCGCTAACTTTTCAACGTGATCTATCTTGGGTTTACTTCCCGCTGACAACTGAATGCGGTAGATCAGGTCGTTAATTTTCTTGAGGACGGTATAGGAGCCTTCCCAGTTTCATCAATTCTTGCCATAATTCGGATTCAAAATTTCGTCCTTGGTCAGAATGTAATTCCAGGGGGACTCCATGTCTCGCGATGACGTTCGTCATAAAGGCTTCCGCTACTGTCGTCGATTCCTGATTAGGAAAAGGCACTATTTCGGGCCACTTTGAAAAATAGTCCATAACAACCATTAAGTATTTGTTTCCCTTTTCTGTTAAGGGAAATGGTCCGAGGATATCTATAGCGATTCGTTCGAAAGGCTCTCCGGAAAGGTACTGTGCCATTTTACCTCGACTTCTTGTTTTGGGCAATTGACCCAATAAAATCTTTCCCGAACTCGTGCAAGTGTCCTTTTAGTACCAAAGTGTCCTCCTGAATGGCTGCTATGAAGCTCCTCCAACACACTTTTGACCTGTGATTTCGGCAGTATCACTTGGCGGACTAGAAGTACTCCATCGGGGCTCTCCCACTTCCAGTGCAATAGGCCATCGTGAAGATACAGGGAATCCCACTGAGTCCAGTACCCTTTAATGGTTCCACTATATTTGGCTATCTCTTGCCATGTTGGTCTAACTCCATTTTTGAGCCATTCGCGGACAATCTTCAAGTCATTGTCTTTCTTTTGAGCCTTTCGTAGGCTTTCAAGGGTGATTGCGTCTTCGTCATCCTCTGGCTTGATAGTGGTCGCCTGAAGACTAACTTCTTCAACCAGCTCCTCTCGTTCTTCAAGCCTTTTACAGTATCGGCATTGTCGTTCTAAACACGGTCGCCTGGAAAGAATGTCCGCGTTGCTATAGAGACGTCCCCTTCAATGCAATATCTCGAAGTTGTATTGTTGCAGTCTTTCTATCCATCTAGCAACTTGTCCTTCAGGTTTTTTAAAATTCATCAGCCACTGCAAGGCGCTATGATCACTTCTAATAATAAAACTTCTATTAAAAAGGTAAGTGTGGAAGTGTTCGAGGGCTTTCACAATAGCTAAAAGTTCTTTTCTTGTGACGAAATAATTCTTCTCAGCTTTTCTTAAGGTCTTACTGAAATACGCAATTACTTTATCTTTCCCCTCCTGTTCTTGGGATAGCACGGCGCCCACGCCGTGTTGGGATGCGTCGCAGTCTAGAATAAATTGAATAAAATGCTAGGATGGGTCAATCTTTTTTTTTAACTCGGTGAAGGCATTTTGACAATCCGGCGTCCAGTCAAATAGACTACTATTTTCAGTTAGTCGATGAAGTGGTTTATCAATTTGACCAGTCTTTGACGAATTTTCGGTAATATGAACACAGTTCAAGAAAACTTCTAATTTCTCTTTTGTCTCTTGGCTTCGGCCAATCTCTGACAGCTGCAATTTTTTCCGGGTCAATTTTGATTCCTTCTGCGTAAACGATGTGCCCCAAATAATAGGCTTCTGATTGGAAAAGTGAACATTTATTGTGATTTAGCCTTAGATTGGCATTTCTTAATCTGTCAAATACTTCACTCAAATTTAGTAGATGTTCATCAAAAGTTTTTGACATGATCATTATGTCATCGAGATATACTAGACAAGTTTTCCAGAGGTATTTTTTAGCGAGTGTTTGGTTTAAAATATTTTCGACTGTTTTAAACCGTTTAAATTTTAGTGATGCAACTATGACGTCACTTACGAAATATTTTAAACCAAAGCTAAAATTTTTGAACCAGTTGGAGGCATATGGTTCAATAACGGTTGACACATAAGAGATTTTGATTTTGGCTGTTGTATGTTGTTTTGCTCTATTCCATCTTTGAACATTTTAATATATTTGACGTTTTGTTGATTTTTATTGATTTTTGATAACTTCATACATATATGTGATTCATATTCATACATTAATTGGTTATAATGCTATAATACAATTATTAATATTTATGGTCATCATAAACAGTTGGACGATGTGATCTACCTGTAGGGTACTCTTGATTATGAAACAATGTTGCAATTGAAATAAGGTTAAAGGATTACTTATCAGTTGTACGTTTTTTGCAAAAATAATTACGTAGTTTGCTTCAGATTCTGAATTTGCCAGCAAATATATAAAAGCAGTTGATGAACTTTGAAAAAGCCCAAAACATCTTCAGCAAATAATCGTTAGATAATCGCGTATCATAAATATATGATGCCATGTTAATTGACAAGAAAAATACCAAAAATAAAACAGTAAACAACATTTCAGATTGCATTGTATTAAAAATCCACCAATTTTTAATTAAAATCGCTATCAAACACTTTTCTTCCTTCATCTGATTTAAAATAATCATTAAAAAAATCAATTCATTTTTTAAATCGACTTCGCTTCTTCTTTCTAGAACTTATTTCAACCGGTAATCCATCAAAAAATTATACGATCGAAATCAGTATTTAAAAGTTTGTCATATGACAGCAGGTTATATTTTTAAAACAATCTATTTTTGCCATCTATTAATTCATGACGTCACTTTAAATATGGTTTAAAAAATATTTTAAACCAATGTGGTGGCTAAAAAACAGCTCAGGTTAATCCTTTCAGAACCATTTCCATTAGGCGTTCAAAGTTAGATGGGGCATTACAGAGACCAACCGGGAGAACCTAGAATATGTATAATCCGCTGCCAGTTAAAAAATCAGTTTTGTCTCGATCGTCAGGATGTATTTCCACTGATAGAGTGTTTAGTGTGTCGTCTATTCGGGTAAGTGGATAGCTGTCTTTTTGCGTTATCTGATTTAGTCGTCTATAGTCTACACAGAAACGTGTAGATCCGTCTTTCTTAGTTACTAGGACCACAGGTGAGCACCAAGGACCAAAAGCTTCTTCGATAATATTTGCATCCATCATGTCCTGTATCATATTTGCTACTTCTTTTTGTTTAGCAAATGGAAGTCTTCTAGGTGCTTGTCGTATTGGCCTTGCATCGCCTGTATAAATTCTATGCTGAACAAGACTGGTATGTCCCGTAGATTTTCCTGCCTCGAAAATTTCAGAATTGTTATTGATAAATTCTTTGACTTTTCTAAGTTCTTCAGCTGTCAGGTGGTCATAATTTTTAACTAGCTGTTTAACAAAGCTGGCATCAACTGAGTTACTTGTGGTGGCTTTTCCAGTGGAACGGTCTTTGCACTTGATTATGTTTTTCGCCGGTGTACAGAGCCCTATTGCTTGTCCTTTCTTCAGTTTAAATGGTCTCTTCAATAAATTGGCAACCCTTACTGGAATTAGTTGATCAACGTTAACGAGACATTTGCTACCAGAATTCCGTCACTCACAGATTCTTCACTTTCCACAATGCCCACATGTAAGCCGTGTGATTTCTCGCTAAGTCTCGCCGAGACGACAGCTTCAGAATTTTGGATTACTTCTATGTCTTCTTCCACTAGGACCTTTATCGGTTTAGTCCTTTCTTCCGAATTTAGGACAATTTCCTCGTTTCCAATTACCAAGATCTTGTTTTGAAGGTCGATGATAAACTTATTTTGCATAATATCCATACCAAGGACATACTGATCCTTAATATGGGCCACCAGAAATAAATGTTCTATAAGGGTATTACCAATTTGTACGGTTGCTGATATACCGCCTAGAACAG